CTGCTCTGTGGCGCCACATGATGGGTCAAACATTATTTAACTTGAGTACACCCATTTTCTTTGGGACATGTTTATGTGTTGTTAACATGATCCATTTGCTGCTGTTACTGACCCAGCTGGCACTAGGGGAAAGGGAATAACTTTTGAAATAAACACCTGTCACAGTTTCGTGTCAGGTGTTTATTTACACAAACTTATTTAGTGGCTTACAGAGGAAAAGCCGGCTGCACAGCTGGCAGAACAAAAATGTTACAGCCCAAAACAAATGGACAAACCACACAACAAAAGGATGGGAGGGAAGAATAAAACCTAAATCTAATGAAGCTTAATGAGCACTCCAAGAACAGCTGACTGAAACACTCCAGCTGATGTAAGTGAGCACAGGTTCATCATGGGATTAACACGGTGTCGCACACCTTAGCAACAACGGAGGAGAAACAACCCCAGCTCTAGATGAGACCTACTACTAAAATCCCCAGCCATCCCTAACCACGGTGGCCAGCTGTCTAAGTTTATTTCTTCAAAGACTGATTCGCTATTAACTAACATCATCCAAACTGAAATCCACAGAACAGTAGGCAACAGCCAACTGATCCCGTCGAGGTGGAGATTCCCCTCCGAGCCCAATTATGCACGCTGAGGGGCGGGACCTGGCAGTACCACACCCAGCGCCCACAGAGTACAGCATCCTCCTGTAATCAGAGTAGACTGAACACACACACACACACACACACACACACACACAAGCAGCAGCAAACAGCACTAACCCCAGTGTAATTACACCAAGCAGCAGGGCGCAGACCGCCATCCTCCAGCCTGGTCCGTGGCCTAAGGGCTCGGGGTCGTAACAACTATGACTGTCAAGGAAGTGAAGAAGAGAATTTTTAGTTATTTCACTTGACTGACTGATGCATTTATAATGAATTCACCAATAAAAATGTAAAGAAACAAAAAAGATTGATGCTTCGCTTTTGACTTGTGGTAAACTTGGTTTAACACATCACTGACAGGATTCATTCTCTATTTAAATAATTAAGCTGGTTTTCTCCACCTCAGGCTCAGGTTTTATTGACTAGAGGCCTTGTTGTGCATTGCTTGCATGTGCATTTAGTGTGTTACTAGAAGGGAGTCTGAGCTTGTATATATTTGTATTTGTGTGCGAGTCCTACTGTTTGTGTGTGTGCTGGTTGTCTCCTCATGTACGAGTGTTGTGATGGATATTTGCTGGCTGTCTGGACTGCAGGCGCTGACGCTCCATCTCCTGCTGGACTGACATATCTCCGTCTCTCACACTCACTCACTCTGACAAATCAGCCTAAGCTTCTCCGGCAGACCGTCCGCACCTGGAAAAGGAAAATCTGAATGGCAGGCAGGGAGGCGGCCTCTGATCTTTCCTGACTTCTCTCAGAAAAGCATCACAGTTTCATTATTGTCACTCACAGTCGTCTTTATTTGACCTCGTCACCTGCTTTTTGACGCTGCTTTGTACATGTGCTGATTTTATTCCACCAAGGAAATATTTCATCATCCAACACTGTCTCATTTTGATGATCTGCCTCAAAGACAGAGTAGTGACATGAGGATAGGGAGGTGTATTGTCCCTTACTGATACCCTGTATGTTTTTAATAGAGGAGGAGATCCTGAGACAGTTATCAGATTCAGTACAGCCCTCGATGTTACACAGGAGCAACAGTGTCTTCATCCGGTGAAATTGGGGTTGTCATTAGATTCTGATCAAATTGTTTAGTAGATTAGTTAATATTAAAAACTAGTTTCATGTAGCTGGAACAAGGAAACCCGAATTGAGACACCGTAAAGCTGAAAATATAGTAGTGTCCACGAGAAAGGTGAAGTTCCCTGGTGTCTGTGACAGTTCATTAGTCCACAGGCTCCTGAGGGCCAGAAACCCACTGTGCCGTCAGCTCTGAACTAGCATCTTGCTAAGACCCTCTAACGTTTGCCCCAGACAAGAAGGAAAAACAACAACCATCCCCCCAGCCCTCTGGCTGTGAGAGCACAACCCTATACAAACCCCTGTCGCAGCTGACGTCACCGACGGGTTGTACAGTACAGCGTGCCGCCTGCCACCCAGGGTTGCTGAGTTGTGTTTATTTGAGCCTTCTAACCGAACTTGTCTCCGAACAGAGCGATGCCCATATTTTGTCTCCCAGTGCCCTGTACTGTGTATGGACACTGATGAGGCTGAGAAGTTGCTGGTAAAAAGGTGCATAAAACAAATTTCTTTAGGCCAAAATAAAACAAACAAAACAGTTGAGGTGAATAAATCAATTAAACAGTGGGTGTGGGCAGCCAATAGAAAAGCAGTTCATAAAAGTAAGAAATACATATGTCTTTATAACTCGGTGCCACCTTTAGTACAAACAAGTGCTTTTGTTTTTAGCAACAGTTTGATTGGATTCCATGTGAGACCTTTTTTTGGGTGGTAACAGCCGAACAGAACCAAAGAAAGTCATATCCAAACAGAGAGATCACAGTCCTGCTCACACTGTTTGACTTTCAGGTGATCTCTGGGAGAAACACTGCGGTAATAAGTGTTTAGTAATGATACTGGAAAAAATCTACTGTCATCAGCAATGTGGGCTCAGAGCGATGTCACGAGGCCAAAATAGACCAGCCGACTGCAGCCACATGAGCCTTTTTACAGCTTTTCCTTTTCAGTGGCTCAGTCAGTTTGGAATAAACTCCTGCAAAGATTGTCCGCAGTTGATCAAAGCCTCACTGTGACAGCGTCGGGTCTTCTCTCCCTGGGCAGCTCCATCAACTACTAAATATGAGGAAATAAAGCTCATCTGCTGCTGGTCCTGACCATCGTCCCCATCTCTCTGTGGCCACCAGAGTGAGGAACAAATAAACAGAGCCATGACCGATAGATCAGGTTTCAAATATAGCATTAAGATGACGACTGTACAGTGTAGCCTGACTACTGTGGTTGAACTGGTTCTTCTGGAACCAGACACGTGTCTGATGCGGAGTGGTGCTGCCACTGTAGGAGCTCTACTTGTCTCAAGCTTCTTTGACAACTCGGCTGCCAGATCTCATTTACAGCTGACATGTAGCTTTTCCACATAATATGGCTGATGACTGTAGAAGTGCAGTTTTGAGTTTGTAGTTAGTTTGCCCACAGTCCGTCCCTGAAGCTTCTCGTCACCCCGTCACTATGGGATTTCAGATAACTCCACACTTTTCTCATTAGAGAGCTGAAACCCACGTTTTCCGGTGTCTTAATGCTGGTTTTTCCACCAGAGTTTGAACTTCTTCTCTTTGACCTGGATAAATAAGGTGAACTAGAGGATGATTTACCAGCAAGTTTGAATTAATCACTTCACATCTTGGCGAACACTAGCAGGTTGTTTCAGCTCGCTGCGGAAACATCCAGGGGGTCAGACTTTGGTTGCTTTGTGCTGAGGTGACACTGGCCAACCGCCAAGTCACCCAGTCATCCAATTAGGAGTCTTGTGTTTGGTGGAAGTGAGAGCAGTGTCTCTGAGATTTCAGTTCCAGCCCAGTAATGTTGTCAGGAGTCCTTATCGGCCGACAGTGACCTGGAAAGGTCCTGGAGAATGCTGGAAGACTGCTGACTTTGAAGGAACTACACTGGAACAGTGTTTATCTCTCCACTAACACACTCCACCCGTCTGTCTCTCTGCCTCTTTCAGTTTTTGTTTCTCATCCAAATACTTTTTTGTGTGTTTCTGTATTTTTTATGGTTCTGATTCTCATTGCTTCTGTGAGATGCACACACTGAGCATAGAAAAGTGACTGTGTCTTCCTGGTTTTCTTTGTCAAACACATCCAGTATGCATACTTTATCTCAAACACTCTCAGCTGTTGTCTGTCTAACATTTCCTCTCTTACACTACATTGTACTGTACTTTCACTCCTCCCCAGTCCTCTTTCTCGGTGGCTCATGTGGCATCATCAGAGCCCTCCTCCTCCTGCCACTGCTCATTTTTCAACCTGAAAGTCTTTAAACTTGTTATTTCTTCTCTCTTTTCTCCTTTTGTCATTTTTATTGGCTGGGAGGAGGTGGAGGGGGGAAAAACGAGGGAACTATTTTGAGTCGAGTCTCTATGGAAACAGTAGCAGCAGCAGGATAGAGAGGAGAGGGGAGAAACGCTCCTGCTCTTCCTCTTGAACAGTGGAAGCCATCCTCATCCACCAGGAGACATCATACTCATCAGTACTTTCCTCACTCCTTTACCTTTGCATTCATTAAGCTTCAGCTGACACTTGACACTGTCAGTCTCCTCCGTGTCTACTTTATTTTACCCTCACTCCAGTTTGACTTAGTGAGGGCTTCCAATAGTCACCAGTACAAACCCATATCAAGCCCAACCTGATGGACGGCTGGTGCAGTAAAAGTAAAAGTACATAGAAAAAGCCCAGTTTTCTGTAGTTGGTGGCGTGAACCAGACTTGTTATAATTATGTTTGGACATTATTGGTTTTCTAATGTGTTGCTGGATGGATTCTGTTTAACTAAGAGGTGTTTTTTGGGGGGGGGGGGGGGGGGGGGAGGGGGGGGTGGACTCTGCGTTGACACAAGAACAATGTCACTGAAGTTTTGTTTTTAGCAATACTGTGTGGATGAAGCTGTGGCAAATTTCCATGAAGTGGATGTTGTGAATGTTTTTGTCATTACTGAATCATCAAGCTTCGGTTGTTTGAGTGGTCGCTGCTGCTGGGTACTGGCTCGTTTCTGGGGTACTTTGTTCTTACAAAGAAGAAATTTACTTCTGGAGAATGAAAAATTAAAATCCAGTCAGTATATTCACTTTCATGAAAGGCTCTAATGCACCAAACTTTGTGGAGCACGCTACAGGGAAACGGACAAAGAAATGACACAATAGTTTGAGCCAGTAAATACCTGTAAGGGATAAAATGAAAAAACATATTCCATACATTTAAGATGTCTGCATGAGTGTGTCTGTGTATCAAAGTGAAAATGTTCCATCCTTCTTCTCTGTCTTCTTGTCTAGCACTGCTTTATGCCACCATCTTTGGAAACGTGACCACCATCTTCCAGCAGATGTACGCCAACACCAACCGCTACCACGAGATGCTCAACAACGTCAGGGACTTCCTGAAGCTCTACCAGGTCCCCAAGGGCCTGAGTGAGCGGGTGATGGACTACATCGTCTCCACCTGGTCCATGTCCAAAGGCATTGACACAGAGAAGGTGAGACCAAACGGTTCTGACTTAACTTCTGACCCTCACACACTGCAGTTATTTGCACACACAAGTTTAGTTTATTTTATTTTCCCCTCCTTGAACCGCCACCTTATTGTGGTGGAGGGGTTTGAGTACCCGAGTGATCCTAGGAGCTATGTTGTCGGGGGCGATATGTCCCTGGTAGGGTCTCCCAAGGCAAACAGGTCCTGGGTGATGGGTCAGACTAAGAGTGGTTCAAAAGCCCTTTATGAATAGATTAAAATCAAGGACCGTGACATCGCCCGGCATGGCGCAGCCGGGGCCCCACCCTGGAGCCAGGCCCGGGGTTGGGGCTAGAATGCGAGCGCCTGGTGGCCGGGCCTCCCCTCACGGGGCCCGGCCGGGCTTAGCCCAAACGAGCGACATGGGGACATCCTCCTGTGGGCCCACCACCTGCAGGAGGATTTGTAAGGGGATGGTGCACAGTGGCTCGGGCAGCAGTCAAAGGCAAGGGCTTCAACAACCCGATCTCTGGACACAGAGACTAGCCCTGGGGACATGGAATGTCACCTCGCTGGTGGGAAAGGGGCCCGACCTTGTGCAGGAGGTTGAGCGGTATCAGCTAGAGATAGTCGGGCTCACCTCCACACACAGCTTGGGCTCTGGAACCTTACTCCTCGAGAGAGGCTGGACTCTCTACTACTCTGGAGTTGCCTGCGGCGAGAGGCGGCGGGCTGGTGTGGGCTTGCTTATAGCCCCCCAGCTTAG